TAAAAAGTATATACATTTCACACTGACAAGTGAAGAACACACCAGTGTTTGTTAAAAAAAAAAAAACTGCTAAATAAATAATTCACGCGCGAGATTTTTTTACTATATAAGAATTCTTCGGTTCTATCCAATAAATTAATCAATATAAAACTGCACGTCTTCTAAGGTAATTTTAAACACTGTATTTATTTCTGATACAATTTAATTTGCTCTCAATGTACGTGCACATAACAACAAGAAAAGACTGCAAAAAAAGACACCTATGGCATATATACCCAGAAGAATGGACGATTTTGTGAGTTATACACCTTCTTTTTTCAGGGATTTATGTGTGTGCGCATGTGTGTTTGGGTAAAAAAATTAAATAATCCAAATAATGAAGTACAATATGGAAAGTAAAGACAAAGAAGTGGGCAGTAATGCAGTGGTGCAGCTGTTACAGGTCCCAGGACCGTGCACAGATGAAGATATAGGTAGAAGATGGCTGTTTTAAAATTAAAAGAGCACAGACGGGACACATCAGCGGTGCATGTAGTCCAGGCGATTCTTTATCTAAAGAAAATCCCGCGAAACTTCAACTAATGTTCCCGTTAGGCTATAACCCCAACTGGCGGTACACAAAGGAATAGCAATTCTATTATTGCTTTTGAAATAAATAAAGTATTAAACACATACACAAATTGTGACAAAAGTCTTGTGTGCGTCACACAGCGAGCAAAGATGCTGGAATAAATATGAGTAAAATGGACTTAATGTATAAATATGCACGACACACAACATATACAGCATAAAGAAACATACAGAACGAACTCTCAACTAACTATATTACAGCTAAATAATATTTTCGAATACGTCATTTACTTTTCCATTTTATGACCGGGATTGCGCCCCTGGGATCCAGGCCGGGTGAGCCCGTGCATTAAAACGCGCGTCATTCTAGAATTCACGATATTCGAATGATGCTCACTAGCTCTTATATAACTAACAGTCACATATCAATCACTTGCATCGTACTGTGCATGGTAAGGGACTTATTTGCTCTCTTCCGACAACGAATCCTTATAACTTATATGGTATTGATTATTTGGTTATAAACTTTCTGGTTGATTTTAGCGGATATGTCGTACAATATATATATATATATAAATACTGTTTTGAGCTGTACGAATCAATAGCCTTTAATTTATTAGGTAGTACCCATTATAAGTTATGTGTCTTGCTGTAAAGTGTTATCCACATCTAACAGCGTAACATACAATAAATTACTTTTGATTTAGAGATAAAATGGGCACCAAGCGACCCCACTCTGGTTCTCTCGACGAACCTCCATCAAAGAGAAGGAGATACAGTCCTGAGCCAGAGAAAACTGAAGCGCCTCGCCATGACACCCAAGAATTGGGTTTCAAAATGCCCCGCAAAGGTTTGAATCGACAGATGACTGTCTTTGAGAGAGAATGAGAAATCCAACTAAATAAGTTAGCTTACTCTGACAGTAGCATCTAATAGGAAAACTAATGATAATACTGATTTAACAGACCAAACTCCAAGATAGGTTTGCAGTAATAAAATATGAATGCATGCTATTTAAAGTCAATAGTGAAGTGTCTACAAGTCTATTCTCATGGAGAAAGTGCCGTATGGATTCTTTTCTTCAAATGTACCTACCTAATGTTGTAGAACCTTTGGAGGAGATTTACCACCAAGGGAGGCTACTCGGCCAGGGTGGCTTCGGAGCTGTCTATGCCGGAAGCCGGAAGAGCGATGGCCTCCCAGTAAGTCCCCAAGTGGTGTAATCGCAACATGCATAGTAATATCTGTCCAGAGATCCATCTTATCCTGCCTGTCATAGAGACCTGTAAAATGTGACACCATCTCAATATA